AAGTAAGTAAGTTATTATATATATATATATATATATATATATATATATAAATTATATTTATTATTTTAATAAAGATTTTGATGAAAATAGTTTATTTACACGAGACAGCAAAGCGTATGATATTTTTCTCTTTCGTATTAACCTGTATCCAGCAGCAACTGTTGCTTCATATTTAATTTTGACCAGAGCAGTCATGTCTTTCTCTGTTCGCCGACGGTAGCTGTTCGCGAGGACGAGACATGCAATTTACTCGCTTACGTTATATTGGCGTGTCTTGAGACGAAGCGGTGATCCCCTTTGTTCGCACACAGAGGCAACTTTTTTTATCGTACCATGGCTAAAACGCCATGGAACTTCTTCTTTTATGCGAGAGATGCGCATTTCTCGCTCACGATTCTACCGTCGTCGCTTCAATCGAGAATGACGATATTATAATTGTTTTTAGCAAAAATATTTGAAAACATATGAATGTAATCCTACGCATTGCGTGTGACACGTAGATAGTATTACGTAGGTATCTCTTAAGCGTAAAAGTAAAAATAAATTCCAATAATAGTCACATTATAAAATACGAGCGGGGCAGTGAAGAGGATAATAAAGGATGATATATAAATCCCTCCATGACTACCAGTATTATCCTACTGCAAATAGGCGTTCACCGTTTGTCAATCGATCTACTGTACATCCACGCCTCCTTGTGCCCCTTTTCTCTTTTAGAAGTGCTTTTCTTTCCGATCTTTGTGGCAAACTATTACTTCACTCAAGTGGAGCATTTCGTGCCGTAGTTGTGCGCGTTTCTTCTTTGTTCCATTTTGCTCGTGAGAAGAATAGCAAAAGATGGAAATTAAAATGTTGAAAAGCACATTTTAATAAACTCATCAATGAACGCACGATCGCATAAGCCAATTCAATCTAGTGAAAGGGCTATATATAAAAATTGATATCGTAAATGAAATTGAACATGTAGCGCGATACGATATTTTTATTTCCATCAGGACACGGAAATGTTTATTTATATTTAAACATCCGGAAAATCTCGCTGCTTTATTATTTCATGCCGAATACTGAAATAACCGGAGAAATTTAGCAATAGCGTGCCCTCGTTCTACGCGATGATTACTTTAGCAAAGTGGATTCTTCATTTTCGTCTTTATTATCCCCGAGGTAGCAGACCAGGAAATAGCCGAATCAAGAACGACAATGAGAATACGTGAAATCCAGGGTAAATATTCCATAGACACGGCACCCTTTAACGGAG